GTAGTAGATCCCACGTATTGCAGGCGACATTTCTTACAGGAAGCCAAGTAAATCACATTTTTAGAGTCACAGGAAAGTCTAGAGTGAATGGTGTAATTTTTGCCCGTCTGAAAGCTGAGAAATGATTTAGATTCAACAAAGAAATTCTGACAGAGGTCGCATCTTTTCCTATCGCATTTAAAGCAGCCATTGTTATGAGGAATGGTTTGTCTCTCGCTGGCAGTTTTAAAACGAGATGGTGCTAACAATTCTTTGAGATTTTTCGATCGACGAAAAGATGGTATGATAGAACTTCGAGGAAAAAGTTCTTTCAATTTGGGGTTAGATTGCAAAATAAACAAATGCTTTCTGATTATGTTGCCTACGTCGGGCAAGTTAGGATTAAATGTAGTAACAAATGGAAATAGTTTCTTCGCTTCTTTTCCACGAGTCCTGAGTAAATTATGTCTAGGGATGGCGGAGGCTTTGGAGAATTGTTTAGAAACTAATTTAGAAGGGTAACCCTGGTTAACAAGGTACTCTTTGTACTCAGCTGTTCTCTCGGCAAAAAATACTTCTTCAGAGCAATTTCTTTTCAATCTTGTGGCTACTCCAAAAGGAATAGCCTTGAAAACGTGCTTAGGATGGCAGCTGGAAGGCGGAAGATATAAATGGCTATCTGTAGGTTTGGAATAGACGTCTGTCCTGATAAATCCATCGATAAGATGTAAAGTGAGACCAAGTACGTGGAGCTCACGCTCAGAAAAAACTAGTTCAAACTTAATTGTAGGATACAGAGAATTGATGTAATCGGTAAATTGATGTAGGGCAGGAAGGCCCTGCTGCCAGAGATCAAATACATCGTCTCGATATCGCCACCATAAGGACGGCTTTATCGGACCAGAAAACTTAGCTTTGTGATCAATTTCGCCCATTGCTAGATCGGCATAGCTACAAGCATTCTTCGGACCCATAGCTGTGCCATGGATCTGAAGAAAGAAATTCTCTTTAAAAACAGAATGATTGCTTTTCAAACAAGTTTTTACGGCTTCTAAAATACAAGTCGTGGATGGAAATTTGTTTTCTCTAATATTCAAAGCCTTCCTTACTGCAGTGAGGCCGAGTTTGTTATCGATGTTAGGGAACATTGAAACCACGTCCCATGAGACCAGTAAGGTACCAGTTGAAAATGGACCGCTTGTGTTAAGATGTTCTATTTTGTATTTTGATGTTCTATCTATGTACAGGCCTGAAAATTTTTTTCAGGTCTGATTTTCACTATTGCTCAAATAGTGCTTTACTGCGAAGAATCGTTCTCATATACGTCTCATAACCGCAGTTCACACATATGTTTCATATGTTTGTTGTTGTTTAATATTTCTTTTGTTTTACCTATACGTACCTGATTATGTTTATAAATCTTAAAATGCATAAGTTATGGCCAAATATTACTAAATTTCACAAACCATTCATTTCACTAACTTGACAATATCCACTTAAGATATTCACAAATCATTAAAATCTCTTCAACAATATTTCTTTAAGTCTCCATTTTTTAAAACATTCCCTCATCCCAATATCTTACATAAGACGATGGGGTTAAACATGCGATGATAATTGGGAACCAATAGTATTGAACGTGGTTGCTGTGCATTTTAGCAATTATTTCTACGTAATCTATCAATTAAATCGCACTACAATATTTTATAGTGCGCCTTCGTGTTTAAAAACAAATAGCAGAATCTTAAAACTAATGCGTTGCCTAACCGGTGGCCAGTGCAGCTCGTACAGCAACGGCGTTATGCGACGGGCGTGGCGCGCCACAAACTAGTCTTGCAGCGGCATTGAAAACGCGCTGAATTTTATTCAGGTGAGAAGCTGGCAAGCCATATAAAAGACTATTGCAATAATCTACGCGCGAGGTAACAACCGCATGAACGAGGGCTTTAGTGGTATCTGTACTGAATAACCTACGGATCCGACTTATATTATGCAAATGATGGAATGCCGAGGCGCATTGTTTACTTATGTGGAATGACATATCCAGATAACAATCAAACCATGACCCAAGATTTCGCGCAACTGATTTCGCTTTTACTACTGTGTCACCCACAGTAATATCATTCCAGTTGACTTTCTCTAACTGTTGCCTAGTGCCTATAAGCATTAGTTCAGTCTTATCATCATTTAACATCAGT